TTTCGTGTACGCGTACAGCAAATTAGTCTGTGAAACATAACTCGGCGAAAATAATAATTTCCACTTGGTCTCATAATATTGTGAGATATTAAAATAAGTATAATAAAAGTAACGATATGAGAATAATAAAAGTACTCAGACAGAACCTGAAGTCATAGAAAATAGCATTTAAAATTTACAAAAAAAAACTTCTATATATACAAAGTCAAATTGTTCATTTAATTTATTTAGGTATTACAAGATTACAGACAACTTTTACCACAAAGTTTGTGTTTTATAATGCAGGCGAAACATTCAACATAAATTTTTGATATTATGATTGGCGAATTCGTCTAAATTTTAGGCAAATCTGTCGAATGAAAATTCTACGTGACAAGCTTGGCGAATGAAACCAAAAATCAAAATAATACATGTTTTTTTTTTTTTTTTGTTGGATATTATAGCATTTATAGAGATATAATGGAAAAATCTGTAAATGGAAACTATCTGTAAAGTATAAGTTCATCAAATTCTACAAATTATTTTAAAAAATATTTATGGTTTTATACTAATTTAAGCGTAACAAGTCGACCATTTATATAAATTTAGAGACAACAACCCCGTAATTGCTAAAGGGATAGAAAAATTTAATTGTTTTCGCAAAAGAGCAAAAACAATGTACATATATGGGGTGCTAACCTTATTATTATATTCGGTAGATGTTCTGATGTCTTGCGGTAGCAACATTTTTGATCATAATTTAAAATAGCATTCGATTCACCTATTCCATTCGACACGCCTAGCCATTCGCTTCGGCGATCAAAATAGTGGTATATGTTTTAAAAAGCATACACAAGGAAATTGCGTACTATAATTATTACAAAAAATATCAAACACAAAGTACTCCTGAGTATACATTGATGATGAGAGTATTCAATGCTTTGACGCCTGTCCTATATAAAATGTGAAAAGAATATATTTATGTATGTGATAAAGCCTATATGAATTTCCTTGAGTTGTATGGTATTTATTATAACAATACCCTGCATAACTTGCACTTATTTTGAGCATGCAGTAAAATTTTCATGTTCAATATAAATGGTTTTTAAGACATGTGAACTTGAACTTTAAGTTAACGAAGAAAATTTTCAATTTTTTAAAAATTCTTACAGAGTGGAAAAGTTGGTTACCAAAAAAATTTTGTTCTATTTTTGTTCATGCTAGGCGCAAACTATTTTTTTATCTTCCAGCTTAATTCATTATTTCACACATTTGCTTTGTATTGGACATTGTCGAATACTAAAATACAAGTTGAAAAATCGATGACGCATTGGAAATTAATAGTCTAATTACACATCCTCCGTCATCCCTTTTTAATCAATTTCAAGCAAATATTTTAATTTTTCCAATATGATTGCTCATTTTTAGCACTTTTCCAAAAAATGTTTGAAGAAAAGTGCTTATTAGTTTCACTCTGTTCGTCGCGTCCTTCTGTCCGTGTACCTGTTTACAAAACTTCTACACTCTTGAAAATAGAAAGTTGCAATTTTATATGTACATAGATCTTTACTAGAAACTTACTTCCGTAAAACAAATTTTTTACCTATCTCACTTCCTCTAAAAGTTATACCCCCCAAAACTTTAAAAATAACATTTTTCAACAATTTATTGTAATAAGAACCAAACCACGCAAAAAAGCAGTGGTTTGCTTTTTCTATCGTGACATACTATATTTGAACTTTAAAAAACAAAATAACCGTTAAAATTTTCCGTTATCTAAAATCCGTTTTTTCCAAATTTTCGAATTTATTTATGTAGGTGTTAAACATTTTTAAGAAATTAAAACATTAAATATACTTATATTTTATATATGTTGTAAACGAATTATATTTCTTCGCCTTGTATACGAAAGTAAGTATACTTATTTTACTTTAAGTTCACAGCAATACATCATGTGTAACTCACGAAACAAGTGATGAAAAAAATTTTTCACACAATCATCACTGCGAAAATAATAAAACTTGCTTAAGATTCTTGTTGGACTAAATTCACTATTTTTTAATACTGTAAATAATATAAGTATAAATTTATAACATAATACCCACATATATGTACATATTATACATATATGCATAGGTACCTTAAATTAAATTAGTTGCAAATAACCATGGGACTTCATTTTAAATTTTTTATTGAATATTTAAATTTTCTTCTTTACGTTGAAAAATCCTTTCACTGAAAATAATTTGAAATTCTAATAACCAATGTATTGAACACGGATCTAAAAATTTAGAAATAATATGCTTATCATTTGTACATATATTTTAACACTTCAATAGAGAAACGTGAAATTCTTTAGGTAAATAGATCTTAGTAAAAGAGATTTCTTTTAAGCTTTATTTAAATTTTATGCCCTTTCAAGGCATAGCATTTCGCAAGTTTTCAAAATACATATTTTTGACAACTTTCTACGTCTAAGTTGTAACCGTTTTTCAAACGTCATTAAAGCTTTTTAAGCCATTACCATATGGCAGCAAGAGAATTATTTCTGTAGAGCACTGGTTTTACTATTTAGACTGAAAGCTGTTTGGCATATATTTGGATTAACAGCAATTATTATTTTTTCATTAAAATAATTTGATATTATAAAAAACTTTCAAACTCTAAATTGGAGTTACGGTTATTACGCAATCAAATATTTTAATCAAAATAATTCAATTGAAATTGAACCCCACTAAAGATATTTTCATAATTATTTGTATTGAACTACCTCAAATGGAATTAATTTTAGTTATCCAGAGTTATAGTTTTCTAAGTGCACTTAAAATGCCATGGGCATGGACTCCCATGAGTAGGTAAAACTTTTTACTTTTTGAAATTTTAGTTAAAACACTGTTTCTGTATCAGATAGTCGCTTGGTTAAGTATAATTTGTGAACCTCTTTTCTTAGGAAAGCTCTGAGAAAATCTAATGTTTTCACATTAAGTACCTACCTATATTTTCAAAGTAAATCAAAATGCTTCGGAAATAAATTTTATGCGAAAACAAACTTATTACTCTACCGCACGCACTTACTCAATTTATGGTAATTTTCCTTTATTGATATTATCCATGGTACAACTTGGTATTGAAAGTAAGTAATTTAAATCTCTAAAATAGAATAAATAGTGTGAGAAATGGAAAAGATAATTTCTGCGAGTACATGCTTTTAAAATGTGAGAACATGCACCATGGCCGCCTCTATAGTATTAATAAATACTTTTCCCATATATATTTACATCAACAATATAACTATGTACCAGTTACCACTGCTATTAAACCATTTTGTTGTAGCAGTTATGTTTATAGAAAAATTAGTATAAGGCTTATTAAATTAATCAATTTCTAACACAAGAGGTTTTGTGGTTGCTTAAAAATATAACTTTCGACTTAATATTGTCGTTCAAATTGAAAGTACATACTTATTACGTGTTTTTTTTCATTTTAGAAATTTTTTAGGAATTTACGGATTCGAAAAGTTATCAATTCATTTACAAAATCATCTTTTTCGGAAAATAATTTTGATATTTGCTGCTGCATATTTCTCAATGTATAATAAAAATAAACTGAAAGAGGCAGTCAATCATAAATATCGCAGTATTAAATGCCAATGGTACAAAAAAAGTTTAAATATAAATTCTTACATTCATTTTCAATTTCTTTAAGTTTCTTACATCATTTAATCGAGAAGAACGAAATCATTCATTAATTTTACGAAATGTTATTTAATTCTAAATTTAATAATAGCCAAAGGTTTTAAAAATAAAAAGTGTAAACTCTATTAGAACCAAAAATATTTTAATAAATTTTATATACTTCTGTTAGTATGAGCCAAATTTTGTTCAACCAAATTCCTAGCAAATATCTTCTTTAATAAACAAAGCAAAAGGGTTATTACAATACAAAAAATGTTCTATCACATTTGCGAGACATTCTATCACTGACTCGCAAATGTAATTGTAAATTTTATATTTAATTGATTTTTGTGCCAGCTTCAACTATAAAAATATTTACCCATAAAAATGATTTATCAAATATTTATAACGCTACTATAATTAATTAATACATACATTTCAAATTTTTAGACTAACAAGAATTCTTATTCCGAAAAATTAAATAAAGGGAGCAATGTAGAAATTTCCACAGATATTTTTCGCCTTACGTCACCGCATATATAATGACAAATTCCTTACAATAATTACATATATATGTCTCTGTATAACTAAATTTTGTATACTTTCTACACTTTCTAGACAGAACTACAATTAAGGAGACATGATATTGAAATACAATTCATTTTGCAAGAAATATAAAATAAACATTCGCAATTTATCAATCTGACAAAATTTTAGAGTAAAGTAAAATTCCAAATATTTTAATTAATTTATGTTGTAGAAAATGTTGTTTGACATGCTCGCCAACACTTTTTATTTTTCATAAAATTCAAGTAATATATCGTTATAATTCTAATGTTTTATAAAAATAATTTCTATTTTTCATCAAATATATACATAAATGTACTCTTTGTTTTGAATCTTTTAACATAATTGCGAAAACGTGAACAATTTGAAGTTTACGCTTGACAATATAATGACTTCTCCCACCAATTTTTATCTTATCTATCTTATAGAAATTTTTCAATATTATTAAAATCGCATGATCTTCAGAGCAATAACTTTAAGAAAATTGCAACTCTTACGTTTCATTGGAGTTGTTTTAAAGGTGTAAGTTTTGTCTCATCTTGGTTATTGAGATAATTATGAACTTTATTGTAATTTTTATTGTAAGTTTAGAAAAATTTTATTTTAAGAAAATTAGCCTCTACCAAGAAATTATAGCTATTCAAAAACTTTTTCAAATCAATATATTGAACAATGATGACAAATAAAACTAACAAACGAAAAACTTAGTCAACCATCTCCAAGTTTTAAATCTATCATCTATGTTTTAATTTAAAAATTTAATTTTGAACTAATACTAACCTCACCAGTTTTATCAACTTGAACTTGCACAATTTTAATTTCAACTAAGTTCGGTGATTTTGATTTGAAATCTTCTAAATAATTTTCAGTTGTCTCAATGTTACCATTCTCATTTAATGTTTGTTTGGACTTATATTCATCTTTTCGAGAATTAGCAAGTGATAATAAAGATGATTTTGTTCTATTTTCTTCTAAATTCGACATTTGTGATGATCTTCGACGTTTCTTCAAATCAAACACTCTTTCTAAGCTGTTATCTAAAATACCAGCAGAATTTTGTAGAGAACTACGACGATGTTCATCAAAAGGTTTAGATCCTATTAATCTCCTTGGATCCAGCAAAGATTTAGCACGTCCCCGGAAATTATTTATTGAATCGACTTTTAGCGATGTTTCACTTGGAAAGTGATCCATTAATCGTTGCATTGAACGTCGTCTTTTACCAGTTAAATTTTTTAACATTTCTGGTGTAAAATCACTTGTTTGTGATGTTTGAGATGTCTGCGATAATTTTCTATTGAATTTGGAAAAATCGGAATTATTTGGTGACGTTGAACTTTCATATGTAATTATAGGTACATGTGATATACTCCGACGATATGGACGTTCTCTAAATGTTGTTGACGTTAAAATATCTTTACGATCCTTCAACATTATTTGCAAAGATTTTCGGCGTTGTTGTAAATTTGAAACTATTTCATTAATATTGTCAATTTCTTCAATTAATGAAGATTTTCTTCGATTTGATGTTAACGATGGAGGTGTTGATGATAATGGAATTGATGACGAGGGATTAAAAGGCGGTCTAGTCAATGATATCTGTGGTATTGGAGTTTGAGGAGAAGAAGATTGGTATTGAAATGCCTGAGATTCATTTTCATTTATACTTTCCATACGGTGACGTGGTATTAAACGGGCTGAACTACTTCTTGGACGAAAATCAATATCTGAGGCAGTGTTTTCCAGAACTGGAAATTTTGCTGTAGAGGCTATATGTTCCGTTGGGAGTTTTTGTGAAAAGCTAGATTGTAATTTTGGCGTTGAAATAGTTTCAGCGGCATTCGGAAATTTACGACGAGCGAGCTCTTCCTCATTATTTTCTGGAAATTTTTTATTTATATCTTTCGTTAGCGCCGCATTTTCCACTTTTTCCTCTTCCATTATAATAATTTTTAGTATAAAAATTTTAATATTTTTTTTATTTTTTAATTATCTAAAATATCACCAAGAAAAAACTTCGTAAATTTTTTTTTGACTATTTTATTTTAAGAAAAAATATTAGAAATTTCTTTTTTACGTAACACCAAATTATCTAATTAACTTTTTTATTCACAAGAAAAAAAACGATTTAATATTGCAAAAAATTCCATTAAATTCTTTTTAATAAAATTATAATTAAATTTAAAATAAAAAATATTTCTGAAATTTAAACTAAATTATTTTCATATTATAACTGATTTTGCCGACCGAATCTAGTTCTTTTAGAAAGTGGCGAAAAAATGGCTGGGAGAGCGTTATTGTCCTTGAAAATTAAAGAAAAAAATTATTATATTCTTATTTACGTGCAAATTTTTCCGATCTTTCTTATCCCACGTTTTTTAGGAACTAATTTTACATTTCTTTAATAATAGACAAACGTTTTCAAGTAGTAAGGTTACAAAAGAAATTTATTTGTTTTAGTATTTTAGAATTATTTACAAAAGAAAAGCCAAAATACAACAAAAAAACAAAACAAACATTTCCTTGTTGCCAAAATCAAGCCAAAAAATTCTAAGCGACAAGTGGCGGCCAAAAATAGTTTTTGAAAAAGTATAGCATTTAATAATGAGATAAAAAAGTTTTCACCCTCAGTAAAGAGAGCATTATACAAATAATAGAAATTCGCTACTTGCTATAATATTTGGATCCGTAATTTTGTCAGTATCATACAAATTTTCATATATAAATATACAATATGTATGTACATATTACGCTATTTATACACATGTATGTCTGTGCATACATTATTATTGTTTTGAGAAATTTTTGTGTCATTTTAAAATTAGTATGTATGTAGGTAATTAATTATTCTATTTTTTTAATTTGCTTTCACATTTTATTGCCTAGATAAGTGTTTTTATGGTTAGTACCGCTCTTTCTATAAAAATTTCGAAAAATTTTTGGTTTTTCAGATGAGATGAGTCAATCAACTGTGGGGGAGCGGTGCGTGAATTAAAATTGAGTTTGTGTTAGCAAAATATATAAAATTTTTAGTATTTTTGAAACTCATAAAATTCGGATTCAATGAATAATTAGTATTGGATCAGTACCGGATTTGGAAACTAAGGCAAACAAATGATAACATACATATGCATTTCGATCAATATTTATTCGAAATTCAAAAGATCAAAGCGAATCGACTTATACAGAGTGCTTCAATTTTCGAAATTCAAATATAACAGTTGGAAATCTATATACATACATACTTTATAAGTACGAATCACATAAAAATACATAAAAACACATGTTCAACATGCATATATATATGTATCTACTATCTTTTGTATACATATATTCACAATTCACATATAGTATACTTACGTTAACACATATATATACTACATACATATTTATGTACATATCAAAAATGATTAATATAATTTTCACAAAAATTTAATAGTTTAAAATTCAAATAATTTTTGGCAACTATGTTTGAAAAAAAAATGTGAACACTTACACACTGTAATTAATATAATTAATAAGAATTGAAAAATGGTTTTTGCAATAATTAATTAATAAAAATGTTGATTAATTAATAAAGCTAAAAATAAATTCAAAACGTAGTTTACAATAATTGTAGTTGCACACATGTTGAAAATCACAGTAATCATTGCTTAGTTTTGTATACAAAAGCCTTTTAGTTCTCCAAAATTCAAAACAAACCAGAGATCAAAAGATTTGCATTCCTGTAAACTAAATGAATTCAAACAGTTGTTTTAAATATTCAGTGTGCATGAATACTAACTTTGGAATGCATATTGCTTTAAACAATTTTCCTTGTACAATTCCCCAAATAGGAATTCATCTAATTAACACCTTTTCATACTGCAATCTGTGTATTATAAAGGCCAATAATAGACTTTACTATTTCAATTATAAAGCATTGGTAACTGCACTAATAAATTGCGATAAAAGGATAATCATTTAATATAATGGGAAATTAAGTACATTCAGATAAATGATAGTCGAGAAAGTTATTGAAAATTGCAGAAAAATTTTCAATAATTAATATTTTAATTTAACAGGGATTGATCAGCGTATGCAGCAAAAATCATTTTCAAATACAATCCTAATCAAAAATAAGATCCACCAAGCAATTCATAAAATTAAGAGAGATAAAAAAATATCGTCTAGGAAGTTGTAGGATTTTCTTTTAAAACTTTGCTCAAATAAAGAGTTTTTGTAAATTTAGAAAAAATCCCCATAACTCCAAGAAAACTAATGCTTAAATTAACAAAATAACTTACATTGTATATGTTTGTACATATGGTTTGCTATAGACAAACATGTGGAAAGCCATAATAATTTAAAAATTTATTTTAAATTATTATGTTGCCTACTCAACAAAAAGGTAAGTTTACAAAAATTCAAAAACGAAATTTTAAGACAAATTTCTTTTTTTTTTTTTCAGACTAGTCAGATTGAATCATCCTAATCCCTATGGACTAAATTTGTTATTTTATAGTTATGAAATTTCTGTCTTTTTTTTAATCCAAAATTTGTTGAGGTACATACATATATTTGAATCTACTAACACAAAACAAAATTTTTCACAAAACAAATATTTTTTTTTCATTTTTACATAATCGCCTAGTTATACCCTGCACTTCGTGAAGGGTATATTAACTTTGGTATGGAGTTTGTAACTACTTGAAGGAGTCATCTGCGGTATAGACATATATATATATTCTTGCTCAGCGTAAAATTCTGCGTCGATTTAGACATGTCCGTCTGTCCGTCCGTCCGTCCGTCCGTCCGATCGCACGATAACTCAAAAACGAATAATGCAATCGACACCAAACTTTCACAAGTTTTTTCTTGTGTGCCAAGGACGAGCCCTATTGTTATTGGACTAATTCAGACAACGGGTTCGGGTAGCTGCCATACAACTCAAAGAGTTTATTTTAAATATTTCAAAAACTAATAAAGCTATAAATATAAAATTTTGTATACGTGTGTCCAATTATATTCTACACATGCTCTAAAAATTATAATGGGATAGCTGCACCAGTTCGGATGGCTGCCATACAACTCCAACAGCAAATTTTTTATATTCGGAAAAATAATAAAGTCAGATTCATAAAACTTGGCAGTCATGTATTCAATTATAGGTCAAATATATTTCTGAAGTTTTAGAGGAATTGCTTGACAGGTTCGGGTACCTGCCATACAACTCCAGAAGCTAATTTTAAATATTTGGAAAAATAATATAGTCAGATACATGAAACTTGACAGTTGTGTGTCGAGTTATAGGCCAGATATATTTCTGAAGTTTTGGTGGAATTGCTTAACAGATTCGAGTAGCTCCCATACAAGTCTAAAAGCTTATTTTAAATATTTGGAAAAATAATAAAGTCAAATTCATGAGCTTTGGCAGTCGTGTGTCCAATTATAGGTCAGACATATTTCTGAAGTTTTGATGGAATTGCTTGACAGGTTCGGGTACTTGCCATACAACTCCAAAAGCTTATTTTAAATATTTGAAAAAATAATAAAGTCAGATTCATGAAACTTCGCAGTTGTGTTTCCGATTATATCCAGTTATAGGTCAGACATGTCCGTGAAATTTCTATAGAATGGTTTCACAGGTTTGAGTAATTGCTATACAACAACGAAAGGTGCAGGGTATAATTCAATCGGTTTATACCGACTGAAACGTTTTCACTTGTTGATGAACAGTTTGGAAGTAAAACAGAAAAAATAAAAATTTTGTTAAAGAAAGATGAATCGACGCCAACTCAAAATTTGAAAATTAAGTAAAAATGACATGTGACACTTTCCATAGTATACGAATAAATTTTAGTTTTATCTGTACTTATCGTTTTCTTTCAGCATATTTCCAACAAAAATGGAAAAAATGTTCACAGTTCACAGGAAAATGCTTACAGGTTCACAGTGTTATGTATGCCTGTTTGCAAAACTTCTGAACAAACAGAAAAAATTTGTAAAATGAACTTTACCAATATGAGGAAACTAAAGCGCTTCACCAACTGAACGAATTGGACCATTGTGTACAGAACAAAAATTGTAACTTTAAAATAATTAATATCAATGACATGGTATAAAAGTCCCACTTGAAAAAGACGTAATTTTAACATTAAATTGTGACTAAAGAAAGATTGTTTTAAATGGAAATTACTTCATAAAATTTTATAGTTGTACAATAAATACAAATAATTAAACATTTTATAATGATATTAAAAAATAAAAAATAACTTTATAATTAAAAATTTAGGTTATAAACCTTTAAAACAAGCTTATCATTCAATGATATTGTATTAGAAACAAAAAAAAATATAAATAAAATTAATGAATTAAAAGGAAATAAGAAATCATTATCAGTTTACCTGATTATACTCACAGCAATAATAATGACGATGTTGATTACATATTATATAACTATTATAATGATCTTGTTTTATTGTAAAAGCAACTGTGATCCATCAAATTTCAACAAAAAGATTTAGGAGAATCTTAACTTTAACGAAGGGAGACTTACGAGTATATATAGCATTTTCAGATTAAATTAATCATTTTGCGAAATAAATGAAACTCTTTGCGAATTGAATTAAACCATTTTCGAATTGAAATAAACCTTTTGCGAAATAAATTAAACCTTGTTTTTTTTAAATTAAACCTTTTTCACACCTAAAAAAAGATGTGAAAATTATGAAAAAGAAAATCAATAAAATAAAACATTTTGTTAATTTAATAAAAAAGGAAAAGAAAGAACGAGATACAAATAAGCAATCAAACGGGTACGAAATTAAAAATTGCATTTCTGTCTGTGTGACTCTAGCGTTAGCCAGTTGTCCTTACAAAAATTTAATTTAAAGTTGTATAAAATAAAGAACATAAAAATTTAATTTTGCTGATTCCGTGGCGATAACTTGGACATGAAGGCGGTGTAACAAAATTTTGTTCCGATAAAATAAAACATTTATTAATTTTTATAAACTGTTAAAATCATTGATATCTAAAATTTATCATCTATAAGAGGAAAACGATGTCAAACACTTCGAAAAACGGAATCAAACAAGTTGCTATTTTCCCGCGTTCGCGAAATTTAAAATATATTTGTACTTTTGTTGTAATAATTTTATTAAAAAAGGTATATTTCAGATTATTAGGGGGCACTAATTTTTAGACTTGTGAAGAGAAAAACGTTGTTTAGAGAGTGTATGTAGAGAAAACTTTCCTCTAGAAAGGAAAGTTTCTGGTAAAGATCTATTTGCACATATGTATATAAACTTAAAACTTTTTAAACTCGTTATCAGCTTTTCGGTTTTCCACGGTTAAAGTAAATTCTTAATTTTTCTATTATTTCTGCATTTTTTTTTTGTTCTAATGGATAGGAAGTTGCAAATTTCTTAAACTTA